ACTAGTACTTTATTTTGTGAGTGTTTTGATACAGATTTTTGAAACATTGAACAGCAGGAATCAAGACTTGCTTCATTTAGGGCTTTCGCATTGAAAGGGCCAGGCAGAAGGTAAAATACATGTGTAATCCGGTTCAGGGATAGTCTGTCTCACAGTCCCTGAACCACATTAATTTCCCTACTGCCAAGCCCTCTCTGCGGTGCTAAAGCCCTAAATAAAGCAAGTCTAGATTTCCTCAGGTTCTGAATCTCTGGTCTCCCTTTTCAATATAAATTGGCTTGTTTGTTACTATCAAAATTATATATATTCAGAGAATAAGCCTTAGTCCAAAATTAGGGACTGTGAGACAGACTACTTGTACCAGTGCTTCAGTGGAGAGCAGGACCAAAGCCCTAGAAACTCTCAGGAGTCAATCAGTCTAATTACTCTCCATGGCCAATGTTGCTTAACCTCATCTGAATTCCAGCTCTGCACTGTTCACTGAACAGAGAATGCACATGCCCTGCATGCTATGGTTCAGGACATGCGAACATCTGGAAGAACACAGTGTTCATGTGGTAACTCAGGAGTTCAAAAATCCCATCACCCGACACCCGGGACAAGTCAGTTTTCATTTCGGGCAATCAAATAATGGTATCTTACTTGTCCGTGGGCTACTAGATAATTTGTACTTATGGTTTAAAACTGCAAATAAACTTGGATGTAATTTCATATCTGCTCAAAATAAAGCTATTAATTTTTGCAATGATAATAAAGTAGAGTTATCCTTCTTTGCTATTTATCACTTTTCAATAAATAGTCCAGTAAATATTAACATCAAATACCATGTTTCTTCTTTCATAATTACATCATCATGATTATTTCATAAAATCAGGGCAAGTGGAAAACTAGTCAGGATAAGTTACTTTCTTTAAGTCCCTGGCTAACTGCACAGGTATCAGTGGTTGTAAAAATGAGATATTCTATGTAGATATTTCCAAAATTGAAATGGAAATTCAGGTGTACAAAAGTATTGAAGGCTAATACTTTATAGTGCTTAACAATTTTCAGGGCCTCCTTTCACAAAGCACGAAGGTTATCGTAAGTCACTAAGGTAACCTAAGTTCAGTGTTAAAGAATTGGAGTTAAGGTTAACCATAGTAAAGATTGCTTCTGCTGTATGTGGCAATATTACACTTTATGTTGTAAACCGGATGTCAGGAAACAGGTGTAAACAAAAATATTTCAACATATAGGTATTGTGTGTGGGAAGACATGTAAACAAGCTGAAAAAAGTCTTAAAGAATGTAGTACAAAGTAGTTTCAGAAGATAAACACTTGAAAACTACTCCCAGCAGGGTCCCTCCTTCAGCAGCTCCACACAGTGCAACTCAGTCAACAGCTCCTTACAGGGTCAGACAGCAGTTCCTCCACAGGGTCAGACAGTCATCCAAAGATACAGCCTTGTCCATCAGATGCACATGTGGCAGACATTAACTCTGGAATGCAGCTTATTGCATGTGCATTTCCTTGTTGGGGAATTCCATTCAGAAGATTAACATTTACAACTGACATTCTTCACATGTTCCATTTCATGTCCATTTCTAAGGCTTCTGATAGGTTTGCGATATTTATTGTGAGTACAAATGTTTAATGTCAATTACAGATGCCTTGTTCTGGTTGAAAGTGTCCCAAATATTTTTGCAATTCTTCATCCCTCTTAGCATCCCAGCTTACCTCCACAGTACCTCGAGTTGCTTTTAGTGTTTTCCTTCTAAGCAAAACTTTTCATTTGAAATAAAATGTTTTAATGTTAAATTTACTGTAAGATTTACATTGAGTTTAAATATACATGTATTTAGTTCCGGAAATATAGTTATTATTTTTTTAAATATATATCTAAAAAATAACAGTTAAACTTATGTTAACCTACATTTAGTTCTGGAAAAAATTTATCTGTTTTGAAAATATATATCTACAAAATGACAATTACATTTAAGTTAAACTATATTCAGTTCAAGAAAAATAGTAATCTTGTTTGAAAATATACGTTAACAACTACATTTAACGCCAAAATTAAACGCCACTATTTCATTTAAGCTAGACTACATTTTATTCCAAAAGTAAACTTATTAAATATGAAAATGTAAATCAACAAATATAAAATATAATCCAAATGGAACTGGGAATAATTCTTAAGTTTAGAGTATAGCTGAGGCAATCAGGAATTGCCAACTATTTCTAAACTTGAGTTGGATTCCCATCTACGTGTTTCCTCCAGGATGCTAGTGACAGACTACAATGAAGACTGTCGGCAAGCTTGCTCGCCGCGTTTGGAAGTCTCAGTGAATGATGAGGATGGATCTTGAGATCCTTTGATCTGCAAGTTGATACATTGTATGAGCTGTTATCAACCCATTCCAAGAATTTCAGGAGCCAATCAATTGGAAACGTGATGATCTCAATGGAAGGTTGGAAACAAATTGAAAATCAATAGTCACAGTTCTTGGATGAGTGAGTGGTCTGGGTTTTAATCCTCATTTGAAGAGTGTTTCACTTATCTGGACTGTCTGGGGGAAAAATTAAAGTGGGAAAAAAAGACACTTAAGAACGAAAGAGTTCAATATTGGTTTCATTTAAGCAGATATAAATGTAAAAACCAGCCTTAACACTGAGTAATCCGTGTTACACATTTATGCAAAGAAAATGTGTACCCTGTTGGATAAGTGATATAACTATTAACCTTCTACCGCCTCACAGGCAGCTTGGGTTATCCAGGGTAATAATGTCTATCATGTTGTATGTGTTTACAGCATGTCTGAGCAGGGTGGAGTTCAGGGCTATATAAGTGGCCATATTATTATTATTATTACACATGTTTTTATATGTTCACTTTCATGACTGCAAGGGGCGGTGGGGTAGCCTAGTGGTTAAAGTGTTGACTCGTCACGCCAAAAACTTGGGTTTGAATCCCCACATGGGTACAATGTGTGAAGCCCATTTCTGGTGTCCCCCGCCATGATGTTGCTGGAATATTGCTAAAAGCGGCGTAAAACCAAACTCAGTCAGTCAGTCAGTCAGTCATGACTGCAAAAATATTTCGAATTCTGATCTTATCTGTAAGTTTGTCAAAAATCATAAACTCACAGACTGCTTATAAAATTGAAGCAATAAGAAATCAGTGACATTTATTCAATCTTTCAACCAATCAGCGAGCCTGACCACCGTACCCATCCCTTCTGTCACCTCTTTGGACATGCATGGGTTACTGATGATCTATTCTAACCGGGACCTTCAAGGGTTATCAATCATGTAATGAGCCATGATATGTGTAACTGATATCAGTAATGAGATTACCACAGTCTGTCTCTCAGTCCCTGAACCACATTATTTTCCTTTCTACCCAGCCCTCCCTGCAATGCTAAAGCCCAAAATGAAGCAAGTCTAGATTTCTTAGGCTCTGAATCTCCCACCTTACTTGGGCTCCTTTTTCATTTAAATGGAGCTATTTGTTTCTGTCAACACTACCTGTTTCCAGAGACAAAACGTTAGTCCAATATTTCCACAAGTAAGGCAGAATTTGGAATGTGTATTTTATGGGTGCTTCAATGTGTTTAATTCAATTTGTGCTGTCATATGAATTTTCATATTATACTTCCCATCAAAAGTTTAGACTCACTTAAAACACTCACTATATGTTATGTATATATACATGGTTTCATTGAAGTTTGATTTCTCCACTAACTTGGGGGAACCAACTGTAAACGTTACGAAGATGAATTGCACGAGGATCATGCATCAAATTGCTAAAAAGCATGTGCAAATATTGTTCATGTAAACAGCTGCATTTTGGTGTAAAGTTTTGTTATGATTTCGCTATAAATTTTATCATTTATTGAACTCATGACAATTATCTTTTCAACGTTACAAATTTGTTTTACAACACATTAGTTCATGTGTAAACAGTACCTTTAAACTGAATGGAATATATTGCAAAATTTAGTTTAGAACATTTCCCTGCAGTAAGTGTCTATATTTACACTAGTGAGTCTAAACTTTTGATGGGAAGTATATGTTCAGAAATGTGACCTAAAATTCTTGAAAAATTGGATGACTTCAAAAGCAACTAATGGGAGAGAAGCTATTAAATGCAAATGATGATCACATTTGTCACCAACGATGACTAAAGTTATTCCTTTCCCAAACCAGTACTACCAACAAAAAAACCTGACCCTTCTTGGTCCTGGAGCTCCCTTCACTTTATCCCTACCAACCCTGTTCCAACAAACATCACCACCTCCCCATGTCTCCCCCATCCCCTCCATGTCTCCCCCATCCCTACATGTCTCCCCGTCCCCTCCATGTCCTCCCATCCCCACATGTCCTCCCCACCTCACCCATGTCCTGTCCCATCCCCACCATGTCCTCCCCACCTAATCCATGTCCTGTCCCATCCCCTCCATGTCCTCCCCATCCCACCCATGTCCTGTCCTCACGGATCTCCCCACCATGTCCTCCCCCACCTCAGCCATGTACTCCCCTCCATGTCCTGTCCCATCCCATCATGTCCTCCCCACCTCACCCATGTCCTGTCCCATCCCTCCATGTCCTGTCCCATCCCCACCACGCCCCTCCCTACCTCACCCATATCCTGTCCCATCCCCACCATGTCCTCCCCCCACACCTCACCTATGTCCTGTCCCATCCCCACCATGTCCCTCCCCACCTAATCCATGTCCTGTCCCATCCCCTCCATGTCCTCCCCCATCCCACCCATGTCCTGTCCTATCCCCACCATGTCCTCCCCCACCTCAGCCATGTACTCCCTCCATGTCCTGTCCCATCCCATCATGTCCTCCCACCTCACCCATGTCCTGTCCCATCCCTCCATGTCCTGTCCCATCCCCACCATGTCCTCCTCATCCCACCCATGTCCTGTCCTGATCCCCACCATGTCCTCCCCCACCTCAGCCATGTACTCCCCTCCATGACCTGTCCCATCCCATCATGTCCTCCCCACCTCACCCATGTCCTGTCCCATCCCCTCCATGTCCTGTCCCATCCCCACCATGTCCTCCTCCACCCTCCCATGTCCTGTCCCATCCCCACCATGTCCCTCCTCCACCCCACCCATGTCCTGTCCCATCCCCACCATGTCCTCCTCCACCCTCCCATGTCCTGTCCCATCCCTCCATGTCATCCCTACCCACCACACCCATGCCTTCCTTGTCCTCCCAACCCCTTCCATGTCCTTCCCACCCTTTCCATGTCCTCCTCACCCCACCCATGTCCTCCCCATACTCCCCATATCCTCTATGTCCACCCACCCCTTCCATGTCGTCCCCATACTCCCGATATCCTCTATGTCCTCCCTCCCCAGCCATGTCCTCCCCATACTCCCCATATCCTCTATGTCCCCCCACCCCTTCCATGTCATCCCCATACTCCCCGATATCCTCTATGTCCTCCCCACCCCATCCATGTCCTCCCCATACTCCCCATATCCTCTATGTCCTCCCCACCCCGTCCATGTCCTCGGACCACCTATGTCCTCCAAGTTCTTGTCCATACCCCTTCCATGTCCTCCTCTACCCCTCCATGTCCTCCCACCCCTTCCATGTCCTCCTCCACCCTTCCACCATCTCCTCCATGTACTCCCCACCACACCCCACTTATGTCCTCTCCCACTTCTCCAAGTCCAGTGCCCCCCACCCATTCACTTTCACCGGTATAGGTAGAATTCAGTCTAAATGGTCCAAGTGACCATCCCAATGTGTCCACTGTATTAATGCCGTAGAACCAATACCGCCACAAGTGGACACAAATCTTATCACTTCCCCTCCTTCAGATGGTCACATGTTGGTAAAGCACTAAACATTCCCAACAACATTGCCCAACCAAATCCAATCTCACGGCCTACTTGGCGAGTTTCAGGGAGTGAAATACTCACTGTTCTAGTCTGATCAGCGAATATGCAGACTGAGTCTAATACAATCACTGCATCCGTCACACGCAATTTCCTCATGCAGTTAGACCTGTTCCGTAATCTACTGCAGGAACTCAACAAAATCAAATTGATCATGCAAGCCAACCAAGAACCGAATGCCTTTACATTGATACAGATCTTGTCTTGCAGTAAAAATGATAATGGATAGCCGGTATTGCTATAAGCTAGCGACAACAAATTGATTATTTATCTCACAATCGACTTTATTTTCTGCTATTTGTGACCTACATAACCAGTTCTTGTCGTGTAACAATTTTAGGAATACTCAAGATTTATATCAAACTTACAATACTTGTCCTAACAAGCATCATGGGGTGGTGGGGTAACCTAGTGGTTAAAAGTGTTTGCTTGTCATGCCAAATTTAAGACCTGGGTTCGATACCCCACATGGGCACAACGTGTGAAGCCCATTTGTGGTGTCCAACGATAATATTGCTGGAATATTGCTAAAAGCGTCTTAAAACTAAACTCACTCACTAACAAGCATCATTGGTGCTTAGAGAATTGAAAAAGTGGGTGCCACACAAGAACATATATTTGTTTCCAAATTCTTTTGGCCACAATTCCTCAAATGAGATCTCAGATCCACCTCATTTTACTATTGGTAACAGTACATCATTCATTTTATATGATTTTCTTTTGATATGGGAAAGTTGGGTGGGTATAATCTTGCAGAAGACTGGTTCAGTGCCACACATGAGAACAATGTGTGAAGCTGATGGTGTCCTTCATGATTAACTGACACAAACTCACTCACTCACTCACTCACTCACTTACTTACTAAATCACTGACACAATCTCTACTCACTGGCACAAACTCACTCACCAAACAAAAACACACTCTCATACACTCACTCACCTCACTTACACAAAGTCACTCACTCTCAGAACTCTCAGGACTCACTCATAAAGTCACTCGCAGAATTCAATCATTCACTCACTCACTCATACAAGGTCACTGACAGAACTCACTCACAGAACACAATCATTCACTCACTCAATCATACAAAGTCACTCACAGAACTCAATCACAGAACTCACTCATACAGTCACTCACAGAACTCAATCATTCACTCACTCACTCACTCATACAAAGTCACTCACAGAACTCACTCATACAGTCACTCACATAACTCAATCATTCACTCACTCATACAAGGTCACTCACAGAACTCAATCATACAGTCACTCACAGAACTCAATCATTCACTCACTCACTCATACAAGGTCACTCACAAAACTCAATCATACGAAGTCACTCACAGAACTCAATCATTCACTCACTCAATCATACAAAGTCACTCACAGAACTCTCTCACAGAACTCAATTACTCACTCATTCATACAGTCACTCAAAGAAGCAACAGAAACTGACTGACACATTCACCTTCTCAAACAAAGTAACTGACACAATCTCATCGACACAAACTCATTTACAAACAATCTCATTCACTCACTGTGTCAAACCCACTCACAGATACAAAGTCACTTTCACAAACTTACTCTCAAAATTCACTCTTTATTCACTCTATAACATTTCTACAATCTGACAACCAGTTGTGTCGCAAGTACTATCAGAATGCTATATTGGTACTACTAACCTAACAACTGCCTTTCAGCAGACTATTCCTGGCTGCACGCTCTGTGATTATCCTCCAAAGGGACTGTTATGTATACACAGGTAATGGCGTGACATCTAAAATAGCATATACATTTCACAATATAAGCAAAACATACACTCAATAATGGAAAGTGGGATGAGGCAGCAAAACCAGTAATGGCTTCAGTATGGATCCATATGGATATCATTGCATCAGAGATCCCTGTGTGGCACTCAGAGGTTTGTTTACAGAGCATAAGTGCCCATTTACCAATACTGGGCAGATCTTTGTAATAGTAATTTCTGTACAACTATGTACATATAGTTTATTGATGGAGGTTGGGAAAAGGTTGAAGTCATTTTGGGTAGAGGTTTGTTAATCTTTACAACGATTGGTTGATGGCGATTTTTGTTGAAGTATAAGTGTTAGGTGAAGTAGTCATTGGTTGAAGGAGGTCTTGATCAATAGATGACAACTTTGGTTCAAGTAGTTATTGGATGGTTGATGACAACATTGCTTGAACAATAGAAAATAGCTGGTACCTTAATTTTTTGAAGTTGATTATGGCTTGTTGGTGAAGACATTGGTGGAAGTAGATCTTGGTTGGTTGGTGATAACATTGGTTAGTAGATCTTGGTTTGTTGGTGAAGACATTGGCTGAAGTAGATCTTGGCTGGTCAGTGACACTACTGTCTGAGGTACATCATGGTTAGTTGGTGAAAACATTGTGGGAGAAGAAAATTGATGGTTAGTGATGACATTGGTTGAAGTAGATCTTGGTTGGTTGATGAGGACACTCTTCTTGTTCAAGCCAACAAAATTGATCAGGCAGTCAGATGAAGTGATCTATGTGTAGCGGACATAAAATTTCCGAGTTCCGTGCTGGGATTCAAACCATGGACCTTATCCGAAGTCGTAGGCCTTGTTAACCCCATCAGCAAGTTGACATGGTGAGGTGAGGTGAAATTGGGTTTTATGCCGGCTCAAGAATATTTCGCTCATATGACAACGTGCATGCGTGTGTATGTGCAGCTGCTTGTACTAGCCCAGACTGAAGCTGGTTTTATGGTGCTAGCCCACTGAGATACCATGCCGCAGTGAAGCATGAATACCCCACATTATACTGACTCCGAGACGACCAGTCCTTGTTGTACCCATTAATGCTGAGCGCCAGGCAGGGACCAACAAGTACCATATGTTAACGTCTTTTGGTATGACGCTGTCGGGGATCGAACCCGCGACCTTCCGCTCTCCGGGCGGACGCTCTAACCACTACACCACGGAGGTGGTCAGTTGACATGGTAAGAATGTCAACTGTGGTATGAGTCTCCATGCCCTGCTACATATGCAATTGTGTGCATGGATCTATAGACATCACTGGTAGCATACAGATGCAGCACATTTCACACTTGCAGTTATGTAAAGTTAAATTTGGGGATAAAATAATTTGTCCATCTAGACTGTTACTTGTCTCAGACAAATGGACTGGTGGTCTTGCCTGTCCCTTGCATGGACATTGGATATTATACCACTCAATGTTCAAAACCTTCTCTTTATACAGGCCTCCATTGCGTAAGTGGGATGTTGTTGAGTGCAACATTAAAGAACAAACAGCTGCAGTGCTAAGTTTAAAGAACTGAGGCTGTATTCATAAAGAATATGAGTGCTAAAAAAGTGTAAGTTGAAGAAAATTCTGATACCAGAAGTTAGTTTTACAACCAGAGTTTGCCCTTAACCCTGAGAAGCTGCAGGCCCAAAGGACCCAGAACTATAACAAGTTGTGGTCCTGATCAAAATCTGTAGGCCCTGTATTTTGATATGGAAATAATACTCTTAGTTATTGGGGATGAAAAAGTTGTCGGCCATAAGGGCCTGCAGAAAACAAAAGCTGTGGGGCTAAATCGTCTTCAGTCGGCTTCGGGCCTAGGACCAATATTAATTTCGAACACTGTTTACAACTAAGAATTTTCATATTCCTAAAAACTTTTAAGTGTACCCATAATGCTCAAATAATGTTCAGTGAGTTATTTTTTTAATCCTTCAAAATAGCCAGCATTTACAGAAAGGGACATTTCACCGTCATGTCTTGAATTTGTCTACATCTTTTGACTTCAATCCTAAAATGGCCATATTACTACTTGCTACAGACAATGTTTACATCTAGCCTAAGTAAATTCATAAATTCCATAAATTCACTTACCGGTGTCACTGGGATATTCTTTTGTACTGTTGGTTTCGGACAGTTATGACATGATCCTATTGAGACTATAGCAGTGTGCTGGAGTGTTCTACAAGCAACTCTCTTCCCTCAGCTTTGATCATTAGAGTGGTTTCCCTTTGATTTGGGTTGATCCTAAATCCATACAGGAACATCACTGAATTTTGATTGTTGTTTTCATTAGAAAATATTGTTTTAGGGGTTTCCTTCAGAAATGTATTTGAAATGTAATTGTTTGGAAAATCTGAAAGCATATTGAAAAATATTTCAATTTCCACTTAAATGTTAATCTGTTGAGCATATATGTCATAACATATTGCGAATATATACTTCTCATCACTTGGTTGTAGTTACTTTAAACTGGATAAGGTTATAAGAATCTATGTTGAAACATCCATAAATAAATAAATAAATAAATAAATAAATAAATAAATAAATAAATAAATAAATAAATAAATAAATAAATAAATAAATAAATAAATAAATAAATAAATAAATAAATAAATAAGCAAACAAACAAACAAGCAATCAAACAAACAAATAAATAGATAGATAAATAAATAAATAATATATATTCAGTAAGAACGAAAATTAACAATCACACAG